AGAAAAGAGGAAGAGGGGGAGGGGGGGGGGGGGGGGGGGGGGGGGGGGGGCAGGAAGAGCTTAACCGAAGAACTTGTGTGCATAAATGCACAACCCATGGACACAGACAACAGGGTGGTGAAGGCCTGGCGCAGGGGGCAGGGATGGGCTAGAAGAGGTCAATGAGGGGAAAGCAGGGGCATCTGTAACACAATAAAGATTCAAAAAGGATCCGATGCCTGGGCCAGCATCCGGGCCAGTTCTCTCTGAATCTGTGGGTGGCACCTGGACGGTTGTGTCTGTCCAGCCTCCAGGTGCCTTCCTTGGGCAGCCCAGTCCAGATCGCTGCTCCTCTGAGGCAGGTTCCCAGCCCCTCCCCTGGGGAACTGGCTGTGGTTTGAATTCCTGTGTATTGGCCTGTTTTTCTGGGGTGTTGACGGCAGTAATGTGTAGGAATCGGCTTTTAAGGGGGTCTGGATGTCTTAAGGGCCAAGCCATGCTCCAAAGAGAGAGTTTATTGTTCGAGGCTGCCCTGCAGTCGGCCAGGCTGTTCAGGACACCAGGTGTGCCCAGGAATAGAATTTTCCCTGCCCCAGGTCACTGGCGCCATCTCAGGGCTGACAGGCTCCCCGGGGACCTAAAGTATTTATAGCTCTTACAGTATTTCTGCAAGGTGAGCTTTGCTGCCAGGGACCTGACATGGAGCCACTGAGAGTCAGGAGGTGAGGACCTGGGCTCTGGGCTGCGGGCTGCTGGGCAAATGCCTCCAGCAGGGAGGGGCAGGCGCCCTTCACGGAGAAGGGGAGGGAGGGAGGGAAGCTGGGGGCACCTGCCCAGGCCTCCTCCTTCACCTTGTCTGCCAAACGCTGCAGAGGAGTCAGCGAAGACCCTTTAAGAACATATTTACTGAGGTGTAAGGTACATACTGTAGGCTTCATCTGTCGTAAGCGTACTCGTCAATGAGACTTAGTGGAGTTACAGGACTGTGCAACCTTTACCACAACCCAGTTTTCGACTATTTCCACCACCCCAGGGAGGTCCTTCCTGCCTGTTGCATCAGCCGCTGCTCCCAGCCCAGATCCAGGCAGCCACAAACTGTCTGGATTACTGTCGCTTCACGACAAGTTTTGCAATTAGTGAGTCTACGTCCTCCAACTTTGTTCTTTTCTCTCTTCCTTCCTTCCTTCCTTCCTTCCTTCCTTCCTTCCTTTCTTTCTTTCTTCCTTTCTTTTTTTCTTTTTCTTGTTTTGTTAATCTTCACCTAAGAATATTTTATCCTTTGATTTTTAGAGAGAGTGGAAGGGGGGAGGGAGAGAGAGAGAAACATCATCGTGAGAGAGGAACTTCGATTGGTTGCCTCCTGCACGCACCCAGACCGGGCGGGAGCGAACCTGCAGCCCCGTTACATTCCCTTTACCGCCAGAGCTGACCACCAGCATCGCCTCCACGGCTGGCTGCTGCGGAGAACCGATAACCCTTTTATAGTCTTAATGGTCATAGACGATTTGTTTGGCCTTATTTTCTAACGGCCTTGATCAAATCCACAGGCTTTGAATTTGAATCCCAGAAATGAACACCTGTTAGCAACAGAAAAAGGCCAATGGCAGAATCGTGCAAAACCAAAAGTGGGAACATTAATTTTGTTAATTTCCTTAACACGGCATCTTTTCCTCTGGACAGAGAGGGAGACCCAGTTGGGAGAGAGAACGCGAACCAGGGCGTCCGGAAGCCCTGGTTGCTGGCCCTCTCAGTCCTGCCAGGCCCGAGCCAGGGGAGGGGCGGTGGTAGCCTCGGAAACCTTGGTGTTCTTTCCCACACGACGGGACAGCAATCCCTTTCGAGCTGTGGCGGGGCTTAGTGAGTGGGCAGTCATCAGCGGCCGAGGCTGTGTTCTGTGGGGCCCGGCCCTCTCCTGCAGGCGGCCCGTGCTGGAGGAAGCATGTACACTCCCGCGAGGTGTCCGTAGCCCTGGGTGACCTCAGCTGTGTAGGCGGAGCTGAGCGGAGGGTCCTTGCCACAGGCTACTCAGACCCGCTGCCTGCAGCCCCTTGAACGCAGACTCACCAGCTGCAGTTCTCACTGCCCCATCAATGGCACCTTAGCTTCACTTCCCCGCGAGGCTCTTCTCTTATTGGACCTAATCTCCTTCACCCTTCTGAGGTCGACCCCTTCCAACTCTCCCATCCACACTCGTCTATCTGAAACAAGTATACAAGATGAGTGTGGATGGGAGAGTTGGAAGGGGTCAACCTCAGCGAAAGTACCTCAATCAGATTGAGGAGGTTTTTAGCAAAGGCCTGCTTAGGAGTACCCTAATTAAGTTAATAACAATGTACCTTCCTATATAGTTTAAGTTTAAAAAATTTGGCTCTCAAAAGAAATTTCAATCATTGTACTGTTGATATTTAGCTCTGTTGACTAATGAGTTTGCCGACCACTGTCCTAGGTGCGAGGGTGCCCTCTCAGAGCTTACGTTGCATTCTGGCGGGAAGGTGGGGAGATGGCACTTCTTACCTTGCAGACCACTGTTCAGTTTATTATCTGTTACATTTGATTCTTGTCTGAGGTCACAATAGAGCAGGGTGAGGGGGGCCATGTTGTATGCGTGCGCATGTGTGCATGTGTGTATCTGCACACACATGTGTGTGTGCTTATGTGCATGTGCACACATGTGTGCAGCGGATTTTGAGGGCCTGTAATTCCAGGCAGAGGGAACAGCCTGTGCGAAGGCTCTGCTAACAACAATAGGGTGGCCAGTGAGGCTGGGGCCCAGTGAGCCGTGGGGACCTGGCAGAAGATGATGTCAGCGAGGCAAAGGGCGAGTACGGGGTGCGGGGCAGATCTCTAGGGCCTTGTGGGACATTGTCAGGATTTGGCTTTTCCTGAGCGGTTTCCTGGCTCTGAGTGTCATAGCTGGTTCTCATTACTCTCCCCCTTCCCCACTCAGCATTGTGCTTTGTGATCCATCCATGTTGCTAAGCATCCATCTAGTCAGTTGCTTGTAACAGTTCCCTTGCACTCTATAAATTTCACCCCCTTCCCAATCCCCGTCACTACATGGACTACCGCGGTCGGTCCCCATGTGTGTTCCATTATGGATGCGTGTGATCACGTCTGTGGGCGATACACCCAGAGCTGGTGGGCTCACTGGGTGGCAGGGCAGGCTCTCGCTGGGTGTGACCTACGTCCCGCTAGACTGCTGTCGGGTGGGCTGTGCACATCCCTCCCGCAGTGCCCTTCCCATGACCCCACGTCTCTGCCAACACGTGACACTGTCCAGCTGTCATTCGTTGCCAATCTCACAAGTAGAGGTGACATCTACTGCTTTGATTTGCGTTTCTCTGATTACTAAGGAGTGTGAGCACCTGTCTCTGTGCTTGTTGGTTTCGGAGGTTTCTTCTTGGATAAATTGCCCATTCATGTCCTGGGCCAGTTTTTCTATTGGGATTCTTGTATTTTTATTTTTGGTTTGCGGGAGTTTCTTGTATGTTCTGGAAAATTTCCATAGTTGATTTCAGAAGGTTAGGTTTGAGGTGGCCTTCCAGGTAATCAAGTCTAACCACCCCATTTTATGGTTGGGAAAACTGAGGCCCACACAATGAAGTGATTTGGTAAGATCACACGCACAGGGGGAAGCTGAGGCTAGAAGCGGGTCCTCTCCCACTGTCTTGTGTGAAAGAAGTGGGGTCCTTCTCGTGAGGCAGGACTGAGCGTAGGTGATGAGAGGCACTGCCTGGCTGGTCGCCTGTCGTCTGCCTGCTGTGCGGGCACAGGGCCACCTGCCCCGAGACCAGCGCTGGACTCCAGAGGCCCCTGCAGTCCCTGGGGCCCAGGGCGACCATTCTTCCCGCTCACACGCCGCCACTTCACTTCAGGCCCGTACCTCCTCATGTTTGACGGGTGTTCCTGAAATGTCAGTGCGATTCACCCAGAGGCCACATGAAACCAGAGGATGGCCCGCCCTCCAGAGGACCGGGCACAGGGCCCCGCATTTCATGCAACACCTCCAGGCCGTTTCCTGGCCACCTGGCTGCCCTCTCCTGTCCCGGGGGTGCTCTAGCCTGTCTCCCGCCGAGAGCACGCCCTGCACAAACCTCACTGCACAGAAGTGCTCCGTCCTCGGTGCCGTCCTGGCTCCTCAGCGTAGGGGCCGGACGTGGTCGCTGCCAGGAGGCCTCTGGCCCCTCGGGGACTCAGGCTCAGGGCGCAGCGGATGCAGAAGCAGCAGGCAGTCGGGCAGCCCTCGCTGGGCACTGCCCTTCGGCTCAGGGTGGACACCCCCCGGGAAAGGTGGTTAAAGACACCTCTGGCCGGTGGCAACACCATAGACCAGCCATCTTTTCCTTACAAACCCACTCATTTTTATCAGCTAAGCACGCACTTGAGTGAGAGGGGTGTAGTCCCACAGAGCTGGGGTGAGAAACGCCTGTCTTCCCTCCCCTCGGGCTTCTCCTCCCAGGACAGGGCACTGAGATCGGCTGGTTTTGTGCATCGCTGAAGGGCACGCTGCCTGTCCCCAGGTGGCTATTCTGCTTCAGGCACCGTCTGTGGACGTCCCGGGTGACAAGGAGGAGGTGCCCTTCCCCCCTGCCGTCCGTGTCCCTTCTCACTCCCCATGTGGGCAACAGCTCAGGGGGTTCCCGGCCTCAGCGACTGTGCTTTGCCGCCTGATGTCCGTGTCAGCATGTGGGTGCTGCCTTGGCTCCTGCCCACTGCTCCCATCTCCCCTTCCCGGTCACTCGTGGAGTTGTGTCCACTGTCCGTGCGACGAAATGCTGACATTCATGCACTTCTGCTCCTACTGCCCCTGCACCGCCCCCCCAGCACTGCAGTAAGGCTGGTCTCCTTGTTTCCTGTCCCCCCGACAGCCACAGGAGCTTTAGAGCCCATGTAGGGCCTGCGATTCTCCCTCCCGGAGCTCTCGGTGTGGGGTCCGCAGGGAAAGTGCAGGCTCCCGCCGTGGTGGGCAGGACACAGACTTGTCTTCCTGGCGCCCAGACTGCGTTTGCCGGCTGTAAGGTTGGGGCCATGAGAAATAGGATGCAAGTGACACATCAATTCCAGGCCCAGGCAGCTAAGAGCTGTGTGCCCGCGACACCCCACTCCCTGCAGGGAACCCCAGGACTGTGGTCCAGGGGCTGGCACCTCACTCCCTGCAGGGAACCCCCAGGACTGTGGTCCAGGGGCTGGAGCTATGGGAGGGAGGAGGGCTGCCCCCCACACTGGACTCCACCCGTGAGAGGAAGTCTTCGTGGTGCTGAGCCAATGACACTGGGTTTATCTGCTACTGCACAGCCTGTCCTAGCCCTGAGTGACGGGTGCATCTGAGGCCCTGCAGGGTCCGGCCTCCCTTCCCTCTGACACAGTCTCCCTTCCTTCCCTTCGCCTGGACCCCACTCTCACGGCGCCAGCCCGAAGCTGCCCACAGTGCGCTGGGCCCTCTGCTAGCCCTTCAGGAACCACAGCCACTCTCGGTGCACAGAGCGCGGGCATCGGGGGCAGGCAGCCTGGATTCCGCCTGTGCTGCCTCCCTTCAGCTGTGCGATCCTGAGCTGGTCACTTAGCCTCTCTGAGCTTCAGGAGAACAAGGCTGGCAACGACCACCCGACCTGGCTGCTGAGGGTTGGCCTGGAGAACGTGTATGTGCGCCTCCCTCCTCTGCTCTGTGCAAGGCTCACACGACAGCTGCTGGTTATGTCGCTAGACATCTCTGGGGCAGAGGGGAGGTTTGAGGGGGCAGTTTCCTGTGGCTTCGGGTGGCTTTGCGGCTGCCTGGCCGGCCTCGATCAGGTGCTGGACCTGCCCAGGCCTCACTGTCACTGTGAACGCCTGTGAACGTTATGGGGCCACTGTGACCATCACGGGAGGGAGCGTGGAGGCGCCCGCGGGAGAATTTCTTAGTGTCAGCGCTTGTCACTGTGTCCAGTATTTTTCTCCCCTCGATTCATTTTATGCTGGACCCCCTCCCCAATTGCTTACCCTTGGAGGGCTCATCTTCATCCTGAGCTCCCTGCCTCTCCCTCCACGGAGGGGGGCTGGGTGCTCATTAGACACCAGCTGCCTGCTTTGGTGCGACTCCCTCAGTCCTGGGATGCTGCACCTGTTTCCAGACTTTTTTGCCATAAAAACTTTATTTTACTAATAGGCTCCAGCCTCTATGACAGC